GATGATGTGGAGAGCAGGATTTATGTTTAACCATATTGAAAAGATTGAGTTTTTATGGTTGGAAAAGATCACTAGATGCGCGCTAGTACTACCATCCATGTTTACTTCTGTAAAAATGGAGCATGCTGGCCTGTGACATCATTGCGTCATCTACTGCGCATGTGGGACACTTGCGTTGTTTGACTGCAGTTCACACAGGAGATCACATACAAGTCACATATATTTGGAAATGTGAACAGCAACGCAAAAAAACATCGAATTTCACAAAGAAATCGGAATTGAGCATCAAGGCCTGCAATGTGAAAGTAGCCGAAATGATTCTTATTTCTTATTTCAACCGTTGCGTATATTAGCTGTGACATATGAATCAAGATGCTATAACCAAAAAAATTTGACAGATGACCGTTGATATATGATTGGCCAAATTTAGGTGTTCAGGCTGACGTAGAACTAACTGGCCTGCAGAAGATAACGAAAAAAAACAAACACTGGTTTTAAGACAAGATTTTCTTTTTAAATAGAAATTTTCAAACTTTTGGGACAATATGGTCTGATAAAGAGTACATTTATATACATGTTTAAGCCTGAATGATTCGACATTTAAATATGACTTCCCTAAAACTTTAAACTTGGTGATTCTGGAGAGACTCTTGATGAATAAAAGGGCGCTTTGTTCCTAATTTTTATCTGGCATATGAAACCAGCCGTGGTTTTTATGGCCTGAACTGAATAGGTTCTGAAATATTGGAAATAATTGTCCTGACAACGGAACAGGATGAGTTATTTAATGGTGCGTCCAGCAGGACGGTGAAGGAGGCTCCAACTCACAGAAACACCCAGAAGAGTCAGAGAATGAAAATATCTTCCCCTCTATCAGCTGCTCAATTCAACCAGATAAAAAAAACGGGGCTAAAATGTGGGAAAAAGGGGCTTTGAAGTGGGTCCTTTTCACCCTGACAGTCAGTGGGAGGAAGGGAGGGACGGAGCAGCCGCCCCTTTTCAATTGGTAAGCATTCAGCCAGAAACTTGGCTATTCACTGTTTTGTTGCTCTCTTCTGCCTTCCTCCCTCTGCTGCTATGCACCGAGCAAACGCTAACATCCAAACACAGCACGGCCAGAATCTGGCTGAACCGGGGAAAAATGGAAAAACAAAAAAACCATACAGGGGCAAAAAAAAGGCAGGAACAACTGAGTAAAGGACAGAAAAACACAGCGAGGTCCTCCAGGAGAGGAGACGGTGCGCCAGCTCAAGTTATTGGGGAGGGGGGTTAAAAAAGCTCCCCCCCTCAGTTTATTGTCCTCTCCTTCCCTATAGTTAAAAATCCCACTAACATCTGGCTTTTTAGGGCTGTGGGAAAGTGTTCAGTTGGCATCTTTTCCCGCTGTAGCTGCAGGTATTAATGCTCCTAACGTCGTTCCTTCACCGTTACCTCCACGCACGCAACTGTGTGAGAAAGAAGCGGCAGTAGACGTATACCGTCCAATTAATGCATCTAAATATAAAAAGAGAAGAAGAAGCTGACAGCTTGTTCCCATCCTGGGACAGAATCTGGATCGGATGGATGTTTTCACCTCCAGAGGTGCTGCTTCAGTCGTCTGTCTCTGTTCACCAATAAAAAAGGACCTGCTGCTTTACAGGAGCTGACAAAGACTGAATAAATGTACCTAAATCATCTTTAGTAGAAAAAAAAGTTTAAAGCTCATCTTCAGTTTGTTTTCTCAATGACAGGAAACAAACATCAGACAGTTGCTGTTCAGCAGCTGTGATAATTGCTGCTTTAGTAATATTTTAACATGTTTCTAAAAAAGTTATATTGTTTTTTTTGTTCACATCTAAAGCAGGAGAGGTGGCAGAAGTAGCTGGTTTACATGCAAATGGTTGACACGCGTCTGCAGAGCGTCTGAGTAGCTAATTTCAATTCTATTCAGTTTATTTCTATAGCTCCAATTCACATCATGTCATCTCAGTTCACCAGATCATCCAGTCAGATTGATTCAAAGTTTTCTATCTAAGGAAAACCAGCTGATTGCATCGACTCATTGACTCTTCAGCAATCCCTCACACTAAGCATGCTTGTAGCGACAGTGGAGAGGAAAAACTCCCTTTGAACAGGAAGAAACCTCCAGCAGAACCAGGCTCAGTGTGAGCGGCCATCTGCTGAGGCCGACTGGGGTTCAAGGAGACAGAAGCAGACATAGAAAAAGAAGCATAGATACAAAAGGCAACTGTAAAATGCGGCCCCATCCAGGAAATACACAGCCAGGCAGACGAGCTAAAGCGGCGCCTCACGAGCTTCGGAGGATCTAAAGCATCAAAAAGAAGCAGCACATGCATTTTTGCTGTTCTTGCAGCTTGTGGTCCGAACATAGCATTATGTACATGATGCGCTTCAGAAGCAGCAGCTGCTGGAGTTGGATACATTGAACTTTAGCTGCTGGACGAGGCGCCACATCAACCAATCAGAGAAGCTGATCTGGGAGCTGGCAGGGAGTCAGACACAGCACTGCTGATGCAGAGCGCTATGATCACTCCTCTGAAACAGTTTATGAAGGCCTAAATTAACTTAAAATGTAGAAACCTGCTGGCAGAATATGTTCGCTTTTACTATCATGCTGCCTGCAGTTGGTAGCACAGACCTGAAAAACGCTAACATCTACTTCCAGCCGCCATCAACAGTAGGGGAAAACCCCCAAGAGGCGAGCGGGCCTGAGGCAGCTGCTGCTGGGGATTCCCAGTGACAGCGCACCGCCGGTATGTGGGGGTCTGAACGGCTCCGACAGAGAAATAATCTTTGAAGGCAGGATGGTAATCTGGATGAACTGACTGCACAGACCATGTTTTCAGGAGGACTTTCTCACTTCAGAATAGATTCAAACTACTTTTTACCCACTGATCACAGCTAATATAGCTGCCATTGTTCCAGGCAAAGAAAGGATAGGGTAGCTCCGCCCACATGCATCAGACCCACTTTAACACCGCTCAGCTGAAGCAGCAAAGATGCTTCAACCAAGCATCAGAACTAAACTTGAACAAGCATAAAAAATGAAGCAGCACGCGCATTTCTGCTGCTCCTGCTGCTTTAGGTCTAAACGCAGCATAATACTTTCAAAATTATTTTCTTTTTCAAAATTTAGCTTTTTAGATTCAGTTTTACTGATTGCATCATTTTCTAATTGGGTTTTTCAGAAGATATTTTTATGACTTTGAGCTTTCTTATTTTTATTGGTCAGGAGCGAGTGTTAGGATAGGGCCTGAAGTGAAGAGGATGTGAAACGCGGTTTGAAAAGAATGCAAATTGTAAAAGTAAAAAAGTACAACATTTAAAAAAAAAAGTTAAAACAACAATGAAGAAAATGTTAGGAAGAAAACAATCCGAGTCAAAAATAATATTAATATTTGTTTCTTTTTAGGTTTAATTTCTGGCTTGCAATGTTTTCATTTCCATTTAAAAAATGTCCTCTTTGCTGCAACAATAATGGAGCTAAATGATCCATGCATGTTAGCTTAAAGTTAGCACTTTCCAAGCAGCAGTGAAGTTCATTGACAACTGACCCATAAAGCACTGGAATCCCATGAAAACCAGAAACCATGGAGCTACTTTCATTTTTAACTAAATAAACCAGAAATAACATAAAAAAAATATTACTACTCCATGGGTGTGAGTCAGACTGTAGCGCTCTCCTAGATTCTAATTGGCCACTCGGAGCGTCTGAACACTTCTAATCGGGAACAAACTTCCAAACTTCCAAAAAAAGTTAAAAACAATCCACTGGACTTTGTTTCCCAGTTTGAAGACGTTTCTCTTCCATCCAGGAAGCTTTTTCAATTCAAAAGGTCAGAAATAGCGTTGAGTTCCAGGTTTTATCCAGCAGCCCAACAAAGCCTGGTTTTTATTTAGAAAACATGCAAATAGAAACGGATGAACGGGTCCACTCCTTTGGAATGGGGGTCATTTGGCTTCTTTGTTAACCTGTAATACCTGATACCTGTTAATGTCTCGGAAAGAGGGTCATTAGAGGGAATTGTTGGCCTGCCTGAAACAGGAAAGGTGTTTTGGTCCCCTCTGTTCAATTCAATTCAGTTTATTTCTATAGCTCCAATTCACATCATGTCATCTCAGGTCACTTTCCAGTTCACCAGATCATCCAGTCAGATTGATTCAAAGTTTTCTATCTTAGGAAAACCAGCTGATTGCATCGACTCATTGACTGTTCAGCAATCCCTCACACTAAGCATGCTTGTAGCGACAGTGGAGAGGAAAAACTCAGAAGCATACAAAAGTAACTATAACAGGCGTCCCCGTCCAGGAAACACACAGCCAGGCAGACGAGCTCTGAGCCAGCTCCCATGTCAGAGGATGAAGAGAGCACATCCAGTTAGTCACAGTCAGAGAAACAGGACTACACTGAAAAACAGGCCAAGCTTTAACACTGTAACATCTATGGAGTGGGGGTTGCAATGACAGCGGGAAGGAATCAACTCATTTGCTGCATTTTAGGTTTTCAAAAAAATTCCCTCTCAACGACCCCCCTTTCAGAGACATGACAGGTATGGGGCATTGCAGGCTAACAAAGAAGCCAAATGACCCCCATTCCTAAGGGGTGGACCCGTTCATGCGTTTCTATTTGCATGTTTTCTAAACAAAAACAAGGCTTTGTTGGGCTACTGGATAAAACCTGGAACTCAACGCTATTTCTGACATTTTGAATTTGAAAAGCTTCCTGGATGAAAGAGAAACGTCTTCAAACTGGGAAACAAAGACCTGGATCAAGAACCTTTAACAGGAAAAGCTTGAATAGATCACCCAACCTCCCCAGTGCCAAACCAATACTCCTCCTGGTTCTGAAAGCAGTGGCCCAGCAGTAGTTCTAGAAGTCTGATCCAAGTCTTTGTGGTTTATCAGATACAACTATCAGATTCAACGTCTCCTTAAATTCAAGCCTGCTTTGTTCCATTTCCTGTTTTCCTCTCTGAGCCGCCAGCTGCTGTTGGACTCACCTCTATCTTGTCGGTTTTAGCGTCTCCCCAGTAAAGCTTTCCTGCTTTGTAGTCTATGGCTAATCCATTGGGCCAGCCGAGGGAGCTGTTCAGCAGAACCACACGATCTGTTCCATCCAGGTTTGCTCGTTCGATCTTCGGATGCTGACCCCAGTCGGTCCAGTACATGAAACTGGGAAAAAGAGGTGATGTCAGAGGGCAGGCTTCGGGGGGGCGGGGGTTCAGGTAACATCCTAACCAGACAGTCAGGGGTGGGAACTTCTGTGCCAGTCATTTATTTCTGACATCCGTCTAAATCTAGTCTGAAGCAAATTGATTTTATTTCTACAGAAGATAAAACCGTGAGAGAAACTTCTACTGGTAGAATAAGGAATTCCCCTTAAAGTGGTCAGACCAGCATACCCATAGTCAATACCAGTGGCAGCTGGCCAATAGAGGGAGCTAGGGTACCGCCCCACACACCCAATGACCCTGATTAAGACGTGAAAAAATGTTTTATTTTTTTTTTTATTATTCAATTTCAAATTCAAATTAAAATGTAAAATATTTCAAAACATATATATATATATATATATATATATATATATATATATATATATATATATATATACATATATATTAGATGCAAGATGAATATTTTATCTTTAATGACTAGTAAAGGGTCATTCCATTTTTCATCATTGTTAAAGGTTGTCCCTGTGCAGCAGCTCCTCTGCAATATAAAGGTGTAGGAGAGCTCATGGGACACGCTGCCCCTCGCTCAGCACCGTCTCTATCACCTTCAGGATCAGCTCCCCTCTCCCTCCCTCAGCCTCTGCTGACACCTGTAGTCTGTAATCTGTTTGATTCTTCGGTCCATTTTGATATTGCTCTGCTTTTTGTTTAATAAATTCCTTTTTTAAAAACCCTCTGGCTGAATTCTGGGTCTGCTGCCGAGATTCATAACAAAATTTTTACAGTAGTTGTGCAGTGCAGTCTGCACTCCGCCACCTCAGACAACCGACTTCTGCCCAGCTTGTTTTCCCCGGGAATGTAGTGTTGGTGCTGCAACACAATCGCACCAACACTACATTCCCCACAATGCAACGGTAGCCGTGAAGTCACGGCAGCGCGCACAAGCGGCCGTGGCCTGTGGGACGGTTCTAATGGTGATTAAATATCATCATCCTTTAAACTACCTCATTGGGCATGTAGCCCTTTAGTCATGTCCAAAAAAAATATTTAATTATTTACATTTTGGTGATTTTTGAAGTGCATGGCGATCTCACCTTAAAGTGTTTTTTTTTTTTTGTACATGACTAGAGGGATACACGGCTGCTGAGGTAGTTTAAAGTTTATTTTTCGTCCAAACTAAAGGGATAAATATAAATCTGACATTGTGCGTAGATGTATTGACTAAAGGTATGCTGGTCTGACAGAACACTGCTCCAGCTAGAAACACCTTCTTTAAAAGAAGTGGCTCTCTTATAGACGCAGCGGCGCCACCTACCCATTGACAGGATCCAGAACGATGGCTCTGGGCTCATCCAGGTCCTCAGAGATCAGAATCTTCCTGGACGTTCCGTTAAGTCTGGTAACCTTAAAATAAAATGCAGACGTGAATAACACCATCGGGGCAGACCTTCACTTCGCATCAGTCACAGAGTTCTGGCTGTACCTCGATCCGATCGGTACCGGTGTCGGTCCAGTAAAGGTTTCTGGCCACCCAGTCAACAGCAATGCCGTCTGGGTGGTTGATGTCCAAGGTCACCAGTATCATGGCGTTGCTGCCGTCAATGTTGGACCGCCGTATGGCCCGGACCTCGTCGTCGGTCCAGTAGACAAAACCTTCAACCGGGTCGTAGTCGATAGCGATAGCGTGTCGAATGTCATCCACCTGCATGAGAGGAGACGCGTTAGCTTTTAGCAAACAGCGAAGCCGCCATGGTTCTGTTGAGGCGCTCACCTGCAGAACTATGTCAGTGAAATCCGGAAGGTCAAGGGAGATTCTCCTCAAGTCGGTCCTCCGGGCCAGCAGCAGAACCTGCTCCGCTCCTGAACAAACAAAGCATCGATGTGAAGCACTAGCTAGATGATTATGTTCATCCTCCATTCACTGGTCACAGAGGATCTACTGCTGATCAGCATAACGTCAGAAATAATAACAATAACAGATTCACTGCTGGTTTGGCTCTAGCAAGGATTCAGACATTTTCTGAACATCCGGCTGCTGAGTCTAAACGTCCAGCAGAACCACGAGTTCAGCTAAAGGAAGGAAGGAAGGAAGGAAGGAAGGAAGGAAGGAAGGAAGGAAGGAAGGAAGGAAGGAAGGAAGGAAGGAAGGAAGGAAGGAAGGTTGGAAGGTTGGAAGGTTGGAAGGAAGGAAGGAAGGAAGGGAGGGAGGGAGGGAGGGAGGGAGGGAGGGAGGGAGGGAGGGAGGGAGGGAGGGAGGGAGGGAGGGAGGGAGGGAGGGAGGGAGGGAGGGAGGGAGGGAGGGAGGGAGGAAGGAAGGAAGGAAGGAAGGAAGGGGTGAGGGAGGAAGGAAGGAAGGAAGGAAGGAAGGAAGGAAGGAAGGAAGGAAGGAAGGAAGGAAGGAAGGAAGGAAGGAAGGAAGGAAGGAAGGAAGGAAGGAAGGAAGGAAGGAAGGAAGGAAGGAAGGAAGCTAGTTAAATGCAGGCTGCTGGTTTTCCGATGGCGTCTCTCCATCACCAGCGATGCTAAGATGCTAACATTGAGCTAAACGTTGCTTCAGGTCATTCAGTCAGCGGCTCAGCGAGCTACAGACCTGCCGAAAAATGACTAGACTGCTTTGGTTCAGTCCAGCTGCTCTGCGCTGCAGCTGCATGAGAAACATAAACGTTTCCAAACATCAGTGCTGGGAGACACCAACACCCGTTTTGTTTTGACGTCACATCATCTAAAGTTGTCCTGAGAAAAGCTGCAGAGCCCGATGAAGGTTTCCTGTTGGTCTGTGCAGCCGTCAGTTTGAACTTCACAGGAAAGGCTCCAACTTAAAGCAGTTCAAATATAGAAAGCTCATATTCTGATCTTCAGCTACCACACAATAAATGTCAGATTAAATAATACTACTTATATTTCAGCGATAGTACCTAGGTGTTACTTTATTGCATCTCTTATATCTGTTGGTTGTGCTGTTCTTTTTACATCTCTTTGCAGGTGATGAAGCAGACTGAAAATGTTTTATCATCTCCCTTTTATCTCCTCTTTCTTTCATCTTTTCTCCTTTTTTCCTGTTTTACTAACATTGCAGTGTCCATATAATCTGTAAAACTCCCTGCATAATTATAATAAAGCTATTTATACGCATAAATCAAGCGAAACACTGTGACAATAGCCCTACTGCTCCACTCGTGAAAGTAAAATCTATTGGGCTCTTTTTGGCATCAAGACAATTATTCTTATTGCCAAATCGCCAGACAGGACACTGTTATTAAGAAATAATCCTTCAAGTAAAAACGTTGAAATTGTATAAGAAAAACAGCCTGAGGCTTCATAACAAATACAAACTAAATTCCTGCTAGTTAAAAAGTTGATTTTGCTCCAAACATTATTTCCTGACAAATCAAATTTATGCAAAACGTGTCCGAGTCAGATGTGACAGGAGGTCTTTGACTAAATGAGTGAAACCAGGCGGGAAACATCAAAGGAAGCAAAGCTGGAGGAGGGAAAGCATCTGCAGCTCAACTCCCGTCTTCCTTGACTTCCTTTTAAGACCCTTCAAGCCCACTGACTAATAGTCAAATAAACACACACACACTGCCACACAGTAAGAAACGCTTCAATCTAACCAGCCAAGCAAAACAAATTAGAGGCCCATACACAGAGGCCGCCATTGGCCCCAGCTGCAGGCTGACACAATGAAGCATTGTTGTTTTATTGTCAACAGTGGCCGGGCCATGGGATGGCATGCCTGGCTCAGATTTATGAGCCAGCCCTACAGACACTCTAACTTTACCCAGTGTTTGCTTTGACACAATAAGGCTCTATTGTTTTAACATCGTGGGAATCAGCATGGCAGCTGCTCTGCTCCTTTTTCAGGCTGATGCTGCTGTAGTCGCATCCCCATCCAGCACCAGCGGCTGATCTAGGATCAGCGCCGGTGTTCTGTCAGACCAGCATACCCATAGTCCAAACCCGTTTATCCCTTTAGTTTTGTAAGAAAAATAACCTTTAAACTACCTCAACAGGTGTGTATCCCTTTAGTCATGTACAAAAAAAATTATTTAATTGCTTATTTATGGTGTTTTTTAAGCTTATGGCGATCTGACCTTAAATTTTTGTACATGACTAAAGGGATACACGCCCGTTGAGGTAGTTTAAATTATATTTTTGTACAAAACTTAAGGGATACCCTCAAATTTGACTGGGTATGCCGGTCTGACAGAGCACCGGTACTCCGCTATCTGCTGCTCTGTGTTCCCACAGCGTTATGATTAAGTTCATCTGTGGAAATAAGCCTGGGAGCTCTCAGGCGCCCCGCCCATGAATTGGTTCAGCACCCATCCATAATCAGTCCTTCTTCAAACTTTTTCTCTCCCTTCAGTTGTCAGATGGTTTAAATCCTGATTTTCCTGCAGCAGAAACCCAATAAGGCTGGTCTAACCTTTACCCAGCCTGGTCCTGGTCCACTTCCTTCCTGCTGAGCTTTTACTAAAGCTGTGAGAGAAAACACTGAGTGGTGAAATGTTTTAGTTAAACTAGGATTTAGAAGAATCCCGCAGTAAATCTAGCTAGCCTCATAATGTTTTCCTGCATGGTGCTTTCACTGCATCTACTGCAGTAAAATCTCCCCTAGAATGACCAACCGTTGAAGCATGTGCTAACCGCAGCGCTTAGATCAGCAGACGTCAGGCACATACCTGGCTTGCAGGTCTTTCCATCTGCTGTGAGCTGGACGCCTGTGGGGCAGGCGCAGCTGTAGAAAGGCTGGAGCGGAGAGAGCAGGCAGAGGTGGCTGCAGCCTCCGTTAGCGTCACTGCAGGGAGTTCGGACTGAAACGGCACAAAGGAAGAAGCTTCACACATGAACCACACCTTTTTATGTCCATCTAAACTTTACCACCATGTGTAGAAAATCTGTGAATCTTTTCAATCTTCAAGGTAATTTCCTACGTGTTGAAATAAAACCAGGGGCGGATTTACCATTAGGCAATACTAGGCAGCTGCCTAGGGCCCCAAGTTCCTGGGGGCCCCATAAAACTCTGTTTCCATGTATGATTAATACAACTATTCCTTATTTCTGCACATTAATTATGTTTTTGATAAAAATCCTTTGGTTAAAATGCCATCAGAACGCTGATAATATTAAGTGTGTCTCAGCCCCCCCCCTTCAGTGTCCACCATATTGGATCAGTCCATTTGCTGCACATGTTCAGAAAGGTCCAAACAGACAGCAGCAAACCATTTGTAAACAAACCATGCAAAGAGCAGTGTTGCTAACTTAGCGCTTTAGACGCTATATTTAGCCACTTTTCAGACCCCTCTAGCACTTTGATTTCTAAAAAGCTCCTAGCGCCAAATCTAGAGACTTTTCTGCTAGTGGAGACTTTGGAGACAACATCTAAAAGCAGCGAACTCTGCTCTCCAGAGCGAGTAGATTGGTAACCCCGCCTCCTGCTCTCCTCTATCTTGTCTGCTGTCATGATTCATGCAGCTATTATTTCATCCAAATGAAAAATGGAGAACAGATAAGCAGATCATGGCTTGTCTACAGTGAAAAGAAGGACTGGGTTATTTACTTTGGCCTTTTTGGAAACACAGGAAGGAGTAATCAGCTAAGTGAGCTTAGTGCTTGGAAAAAATCTTTCATCTTTCATTCAGAACAAAGGGACAAGAAGAGAGGGACAAAACCTAAAACAGATAATGGATGTCTATTCTATTAACATTTCTCTATCTGGATAATGGGTCTGTTTTATGTGTTGTCTTCTCAGTTCAGAGGGGCCCTCTGCCTGCTTTGCCCCAAATTTCCTAAATCCGGCCCTGAATAAAACCCTACTAATCGGGACCTTAACCAGGTTATGCTGTAAAATATTCCACCTACTGTACGGCTGCCGGTAGGACTCCAGAACCTGGATGTCCATGGGAGAGTAAATCCCACTGAGGATCTCTGTGGTTTTGTCTCCGCTGTGTTTGCTGCAGGCGTGGATGGAGCGGGTCTGCCAGTCGGTCCAGTACAAAGTCTCCTTAGACAGCGTCAGGGCAAACGGGTGAGTCAGGGTGCCCTCCACCACGGCTTCTCTGGAAGTTCAAACACACAACCGCTGCATCACACACTCCATCAGAAAGAATAGAAAGATTCAAAGCTTATCATTAAAATGTGAAGTGAAGGGAGGAAGGAAGGAAGGATTTGTGGGTTTGTCTGACCACCATTGAGGAAAACGACTGAAGCTGGACCAGCCAGAAGAGCAAGGTGCGCGAGAACGCTGGGGCCCTTTTTCCAACTGGATCTCTGCTCTTTTTGGCCCTCATATCCCTCCATTGTCGCTCAAACTTTCCCACTTGCTCACCGCCTCGGACATTAAAACTCAACTCCATTCCACCTATTTATATATAAAAATACCATGCTGATAAAAATCCAGTCCACGTTTTCAACACAACCTTAGTGCTAATGCGCGAGGACATGCCAGATCCAGCTCCAGTCCGTTTTTTTTCCACCTGTTCACTGTGCTGAGAGCAGCGGAGCTGAAAGACCCGCAGCAGATATTAAAGACCGGGATTTCTGAGAATGTCATTGGATTTTTTTATCTTATCCTGTTCTTATCTGGACTAAGATAATTCTCTTTGTAAATTAAAGAAGATTTCAAGCACTCTACTACTTGAGTAAAGTTAAATATGTAAGTTTGGTCCCCCTGAAGGCGGCTGCGCCTCAGAACTTCCATACCGGTTCTTTACCTGGGAATATGAGTAAAGAATACAGAAGCTAGCTTAAATGATCAATATGGAGACTGTAGGATCACATCATATTGTTTTCTCTATACCTCGTGATTTGTTTACTCAGCTTTACTCCTCGTTTGCTCTAGCTTATCCTCCGGATTTAGTCATAGTTTAGTTCCAAGTTAAATAATTATTGCTCAGTCCAGTTGAATAATCCCCCGTTAGATTTTAGGACTAATTAAAGCAACAACAAAAAAAATAAATTCTTAAAGCTTTCAGGTTTGCCTCTCAAACCCATAGGAGGTCCACAATAATAAAAAGAACCATTACATTTTATTTACAAAAAATCAGCCGCCCAAGAAAAGACCAACCACATCCAGAGAGGATGTTCAGAACAACTCAGTTATCCAGGATTGATAGAGGAGGAACAACACGGATGTTTTATTATTACTGATCTTATTCATTTATCTTCATTTTGTTCTGTTGAATATGTTTAAAAACTTAATTTCCATCACATTTTCCTAAATGAAACATCCAGAGTGCTTCCTTGAGTCAGGGAGATGGGTTTTTTTTTATAGAAAATACAGCCTCCTAGAAGGTCTGAGTTATTGAGCTGTTTTGTCAGTTAAATAAAATAATGTCAATAAAATAATGACTGAAGATTTTTAATCTTTAGCCTATTACCAAATATTCATACCTAGTGTAGTTTGCACAGCATTCAATTGCACTGGTTCCTGCATTAGTTCCAGTAATCCAATAATAACTTTAGTTGCCCATCGGTTATGTTAATTGAACTGCAGAGAATAATTAATAAACAAATTTGTGAAATTCTTAGTTTACAGTATATTTAAGATGCAAGTATATTAGTAGGGTCCATTCTGCTTTACTTCAATTCTCTAAAAATCACCAGAATATATAGTGTGTGAAAGATGTTCCACATAAGTACAAATAATTTATTGTTATTTAGTAACATTTAGTGTGCTATAAAAATTAGCTTCAGTGAAATCCTCTGAAAACCTCCAACCTATAGCTGCACCCATCCTCATTCACCCTGACAAGGGCAGCCTGTCCAAAACTCACTCCAAGGTTTAGTGAAAAGCCTGACAATGTTTTACATGATGTGGCGACGTTCAGCCGCTCATGTAGCGTAACGTCACTGGCATGAAGTGTGACCTGAGCAGATCTGGTAGCTACAGCGGCACTTTTCTCACCCCTTCAGGTTACATTTTAAATAATATCCCAGCTCTTAAAGACCGAGAATAAACGAACAACTTCATTAATTTGGTAAAAAGAGCTAAATATTCCCTGTTAATGAGACGGTTGGCAGCAGTTAGAAATCTGAAACTTAAACCTTACACTGTCGCTGCTGTGGTTTCACAGACATGCTGCTGCTGCCAAAAACGCTTCAGAGCCAAGATTTGATGCTCTGCTAGCGGACCTCGCGCCGTTAGCATAAACATTGGTGGTGGAGCTGCTGCTGCGTCTCCAAAGGAACGGACTGTAACTCGGTCAGACAGGTCCAACATGTCGGTTTAGACTCAAACACATTCCTACAAGATATCCTGGAAGGAATCAAGCCTCTCATGCAGACTTCTGAGACAGAAAGGGATGAGAAACATCCAACGAGGGAATCGCAGCTTGAAGGCTGAACATCTTTCAACACGTCAGCCTTTTCACCGACAGCGTTCAGAGATCACAGAGAGACAAGAACTGCTCAATGATGGGGATAAATGAACAAAGGTTCCAGGCTGCAAATGGAAAAACTCCCCCGATCTCAACAAATCAACCCCCCGACTAAAGCAATGATGACCTCAGCAAAAATATGGGCTTCAGTTTGCTGTGGCAACATCAGTCTTCTTTATTCAGTGCAGAGAGATAGAGCCGAGGTGAGGACTGAGACCCAGAGATGTGACTGATGCAGTGAAGGCGGAGCTAGGAGAGCAGAGACGTCAGCCATGTTGGTTTAACTGGGGCCTTCATTCCACAGCTCTGTTTGTGTTGGACTCTTTATTTTTCTGTCGGTATTGCTGTTCTGTTTCTTACTGCATCACCACTTTGTAGGAGAGAGCAGCTCACAGATGTGATATCAGATATGGTCCAGCTAGGATCCAAGGTTTGGAGCTCAGAAACTGAGAGCGCTGCTCTTCAGCTTTCAAACCAAAAGCACGAGTCACCTTTTTCCATTGAGCCGCTGTTTGCTGAGATAAAGCCAAACTTTATTACAGAGAGTGCTGAACAGAGTACTGGGGCAGAGCATGTACTCTGTTTGATAGGAACCATCTCTGGATGTGTTGATCTGTACCTGGATCCAACAGAACCGACTCATTAGCTGAGCTGAACAGAACTAGAAAAGCGGCCACTAGGGGCGCTAGACCTCCTACATCAGAGAACCAGAAACATGTCTGATCAGCTGAGGGTCAGATCTAACAGCTGTTAGCTTAAGTGTTTAAAGTCATAGGGAAGCGGCTGTTCCAACTGGTGCAGTTACAAATTCTCCCAAGTGGTGCCCGACTTTACATGAGTGAATAAAGTGAATGTGATTGGTCGATTATCAAGGGGGCGGGATTGTTGTGGCTGAAGGTTCGTAAGCAAGTCTGGTTGTAGCCGGTTTGTCGGAAGCATCATGCTAACCAGTTAGCAACTTAGTGCTAGTAGGTTCCCAATGGGAAATTCCATTGGGACCAAGTAGCACTAAATTGGTGACTTAGAAATGACACTGTCAAGGAACGCTATGGACAGAGGAAACATGCAAGAGGAGGAGAGTTTAGTGCCGGAGGTCGTGGAGGAGTCTCCTCCATCATCCATTTTTTATTTAGAGGAGGAAAGCGAGGATGAAGATGTTGTGGAAAAGGACGCCAGGGCGGCAGAAGCTTGGTTTGGTGTAGAAGGCTTCCAGCCGTACATGTTTGAGCCCTTGCCTCGCAACGCTGCCAGTTCTGTTAGCTCTACGCCTGCTGAAGACACAGACGTCCATCCCCGTGAACACTGGGACGGAACTCAATGGGAAAGGACATGATTCTGATACCTTATTTCAACCGTTGCGTATATTAGCTGCGACACATGAATCAAGATGCTTTGACTGAAAAAATTTGATTGATAGATGACCATTGATATATGATTGGCCGAATTTAGGTGTTCAGGCTGACGTATAACTAACTGGCCTGCAGAGGATCACGACAAAAAACCCACAGATTTTAGTATGATTTCCCTACGACTTTAAGGGGAGCTCAGACTGACTGGGTCACATGACCCATTCAAAGATGGATCACACCATTAAAAGTTACGGACCAGAGTTTATGAGGGGAGCATCAATATGCAGCTAAAGCTAAATATCATCAAATATATCCTAAAAAAGTTAATATTTAGGTAAAATGGTATACCACTATGTACCATATCAGTGAAGTACAGCATATAAAACTATAAACTAACCTGTCATAAACAATTTTTTCAGGTTTTCTTATTATACTTATTTATTATTTTAATAAGGGCTTTGTTAAAAATGCTTTTGAATTCTCATATTAATTCCTAAATATTGATTCATAAAGCCAAAGATATTTTTTTAAGAAATGCATTTTCCACTGGGAAATTGATTCGGGATGAAGCATTTAATCACATTAATTATAATAATTCTATTATTTATTACTTCGTGACATCAGACCATTTTTCAACCCAAAATTGAATAGAATATCTTTGCATTTAAGACAAGAAAACTTTTTTTTGTCTGTGAATATGTTCTATCTGCAACTCTTCAAGTGGCTTAGTTTTAGCTCCACTTGTTTTAAATTCCATATAAAATACTTTGAAATCCAATTAAAAGATTAATTAATTTATTTTTAAAAATTAATACTAATCAATTAGCAAAATAATGATTAGCTGCAGCCTAGAACTCAATGGCAGGAGCTGGTACTACCTGCTCAGACTCCACTACAGTAGGTGGCGCTAAAGCACAAAAAATGCTGACAGAACAAGATGAAGAACAATGCGAGTGTGGACTCATGTCCTTGCCAAGTCTGTTCTTGACTAGAACCCAGGAAAGTCTGGCCTCTGGGAGACTGGGAAAACGCAGAATAAATCTGGGTCAATTGGAACAAAAGCATACTGATGACATCACCACATTCAAAGCTAGTCTGGAGCTGCATTTCACCTCCTGTTATTAATAGTCTCTACATTATAATAAATTATGACTTTTTTCATTTGTCGGGGGAATAATAATAAACGCAGTCAGATAAGCACAAATCAAATGAACATTTTGCCAAATAAAACAAAAACTTGCCATCAGAGCCAGCAGGCCTTCACACACAGCTATGCTGAGAGAGGGCTGCTGCAGACGGGCTACCGTTAGGCCTGGCTGCTGCGGACTGGCTAATGTTAGCCCTGGATGCTGCGGACTGGCTAATGTTAGCCTTGGCCGCTGCAGACGGGCTAACGTTAGCCCAAGCTGCTGCGGACAGGCTAACATCAGCCCTGGCTGCTGCGGACGGGCTAATGTTAGACCTACCTGCTGCAGACAGGCTAACGTTAAGCCTGGCTGCTGCTGACAGGAAAATGTTAGCCCTGGCAGTTGAAGATGGGCTACTGCTAGCGCTGGCTGCTGCAGACAGCTAATATTAGCCCTGGCTGCTGCGGAAAGGCAAACGTTAGCCCTGGCTGCTGCAGACGGGCTAATGTTAGCGCTGGCTGCTGCAGACAGCTAATATTAGCCCTGGCTGCTGCATACAGGCTAATTTTAGCCCTGACCACTGCATTCTGGCTAACGTCAGCCCTGGCTGCCACAGACGGGCTAACGTTAGCCCTGGCTGCGGTTAGCCTCGCAGTCCGCTGGTTGCCACGGTCCTCACAACATCGGAAATATTTTTTTTATTACGCACTGAATCAGTAAATGGGCCATTTAGTGAAGCTTAAAGTATAATGTTCTCGCCTCAAATGATCTTAAAACGTACTTTTATGGAGCAACCGTGAGCGCTAACCTGGAAGCTGCTGCTGCCGCAGTGCATGCTGGGACAGCTGTCAGTCTGGAGACTGGACAAGTCTGCTCTGATAGATACTCAGTAAAGATGGAGGGGCGGGAACAGCATTCTGGGATATATCTGCTCCTCTAGTGACTATGGATGATCACTACTTCTCAAGATGCTCACTCATCATTCAGACACTCATAAATGGGGTCATTGAAATCTACTGCTGTGTAACGAAGTTTAAACGCCGGCCAGGACACTCGAGATAATGTTAATTTTAAATGCTGTTTTTAACATATTTAGCCATTTGTTTTCACATCAGAGGAGGGGTGGGGTGGACAGAGGGACCCAAAAAGGTGCTGCCTGACCATCGGTTAAGCCATCATCTTGTCCCTGTTAGCTGGAAGGATACTGGGCTGACTGGGAAACTGGGAGGACTGGGATCGCTCTGAAAGCTCTCCATGCAGCTAAGACTAACAGTGCTGAATTTGACCTTATGCAATGAGAGGAGATGAGAGGTTGGCTGCAGCATGAGGTGCGTCTGTAATTATTTGTTCTGATGTCGGCAGCGTGCTCAGGACCTGAGTCAGACATTCTGTCAGAGTAGAAACAGTCGTTAAAGATTAACCACGACCTTTGGACATTTTGAAATATGGGGTTTTATGGCAGCTACAAAGAACCAGAGTGAAATGAAGCAACCTTTCAGAAAGCAGGACTACTTTCAATGATAAACATCTGGATTAGCTAAGGAGCTTAAGGTTCAGTCTATGATGATGCTTTATCATAAAACCCTAACCTGTTTAAATCTTACTATAGATGGCTCCTACAAACCGTACCGTGCAGATCCGTCCAGGTTGGCTCTGTGAATGAAGCTGAGCTTGGCGTCGGCCCAGTACAGCTTCTCCTCCACGAGGTCTATAGTGAGACCGTTGGGCCAGTGTATGTTCTCGTTCACTAGAACCTTCCTGTTAGGAGACAGCAGAGAAGGTGGAGATCACATAGATGCTTTAATGGTTCTTAATGAGGTAAAACGTTCAGGCTTTAGTTCAACTACCGAGCCTGGTTTATGGGGCGAGACTGGGGACATAAAGCTGGTTCCAAAACATTTTTTTTTAAACTGAAAAAAAAAAAAGTTTAAAGTACTTATCAGATTCCAGTTCTCACAGTTCCTGAATGCAACAGCGGGGAATATTTCCTCCAGGCACCTAAACTGTGAGTCATCATTCTGGTGTCATCTAAGCCCCCCCCCAGGCTGTGAAACAGCTGGTTAAAACTAGAGAGCATCTTCAAAATGTTTGAAAAGCAATCCCTTGATGATGTCATCAGGGGATAAGCTGTCCAGAGCAGTCTGTAGCAGCGCATCACCCAGAGTACGGCCTTCATCTCACATATTATTCCACACTCCTAGGCTATCTTTATAACCTCTGACTGGTTGCCATGGTAGCGGGTTGTTGGGGTGTGGCCTTCAGGGGGACAGGGCATGGGAAGCCAGAACTGCTCATTCAGGCTCAGAATATTTGCTCCAGGCACCTAAGCTGTCAGTCATCATTCTGGTGTCATCTAAGCCCCGCCCACACGCTGAACGACAGCAGGTTAAAACTACAAAGCACAAAAACTGAAAAAAAAAAATGAATCTAAAACTTTATTTTACACGTTTCTTTTCAGTTTCAAAAAACTTTTTTTTAAAAATAGTTTTCCAGTTTCATATCTTTGTTCTCCAGTAAATCTTTTTCAGTTTCAAAAATATATATTTTTCTCTGGTTGCAAAACTTTTTTTTTCAATAAAAAAAAAAAAAAAAAATCAGTTTTCAGTTTCAAATCTTTTTTGTCCAGCTTCAAGAAATATATTTCTAAATGAACTTAATGGCCAAAATGTAGCTCCATAGTAGTGAAAAAATGCAGTAAGTGGTTTGAAGCTTTTTCTACACTCATCGACAGATTCTCACTACCAACCCTTCATAAATGGAGGCAGGTTGATCCCCCTGTGTGTCAGACAGCAATGGTTCATAGTTTACCATGAAGGCTGGACCACATGTTCCATCCAAAACCCTTAAACCTAAACAAACACTAGTTTGTTACCATTCACTAATATAACTAATAGAATAGATTCCTAAAAGAGCACTTCGCTCTCAATCTGCAGGCTTACTAGTGGTTCCTAGAATTTCTAAAAGTAGAATGGGAGGCAGATCTTTTAGTTATCAGGCTCCTCTCCTGTGGAACCAACTACCAGTTTTAGTCTGTGAGGCAGACACCCTGTCTACTTTTAAGACTAGGCTTAAAACTTTCCTTTTTGATAAAGCTTATAGTTAGAGTGGCTCAGGTTATCCTGAGCTATCTCTATAGTTATGCTGCTATAGGCTTAGACTGCTGGAGGACATAGGGACCCCTTTATCATCATTCTGCTTCATTCTATCTCTATTCTCCCACAGGTTTCTAACTGTTAAAATTGAATTTTTCCTCTCCACTGTCGCTACAAGCATGCTTATTGTGAGGGATTCCTGAAGAGTCAATGAGTGGATGCAATCAACTGGTTTTCCTTAGATTGAAAACTTTGAATCAAGCTGACTGGATAATCTGGTGAACGGTAAAGTGACCTGAGATGACATGATTTGAATTGGTGCTATATAAATAAACTGAATTGAATTGAATTAATAAGTTCATTAATAAATGAGGAGTTGTGAGTGAGAATGTGTTGCTAGGATCAGTCCTGCACATCTGGGTTTGACCCCAGCATGCGTCCGCCGGCCCGCCGGTCGTTCAACACTTTCTGCTAATGCAGTACCTGCTGCTGCCGTCCATGCCGGCGCGCTCTATCCGAGGCTCTTCTCCCCAGTCTGTCCAGTACATGTATCTGGAAGGACAAAGACTTCACTGAGAACTAAAAACTAAATTTAAATTACAGGGAGAAACAAAGGATCTGAGAAACAAGGATCTGGGCAGACAGCCGAAACTCTCTGCTCCTGCAGGCCCTGGTTTAGTGCTGTTACCTCTGACCAGGGTTTAGAGCTATGGCCCTTGGTTGGTCCAAGTCCATCCAAACCAGGACCTTCCTGGAGGAACCATCTAGGTTGGCCACCTCTATCCGGTTTGTCTCCGAGTCGGTCCAGTAGAGCTTTTTCCCCAGCCAGTCACAGGCTAACCCATCCGGACTGTTCAGCCCTGACACCACCGCTGTTTGGCCGCTTCCCAGAGCCTCCTTCAGAGCTGCAGGAACAACGCACAACGGGATGTTAGCGCCCACCAGAGACGACGACTTTCCACCACTCTAATCCTGAGCTATGATGCTCTGTCAGATTAAAGCAGGACTCTGATTGGGCCACAGCGAATCAACAGTATGGCGTTCCCAACATGATGATCAGATTAATGCTTTTAACAGTGTTTCCTCTCCAGGTAACCTTTGAATTTCTTTAAAAAAAATAAGATCTTTAGTTTTCAAAACGCCTGGAGTATCCTGTCCTATCAGCTCTAACCATAGAAATGTTTCCTTAATCAAATCAACGGTTAATGTTTCAGTGAGTTTCTATAAATAGGCTGTAAATCTCATCATCAGACCATGACGATCGTCGGGTGAAATGGTCCTAAGCCGGTGACCCGTCTCTGCCTTTTTACGTGGGTCAGGTTTGGCAAAGCTCCTAAAGTTTTCCAGGATTGAGGATTTGAAATGACAGCAGAAGGAAAAACTAAATGGATGAAATGAAACTAAGCAGGGTCACCGAACTTTCCCTCCAGACATCGTCAGGGTCTGACCAGGACCCCCTTTACAGGCAGACAGATACTAGTCTTCACTATTATTCACGGTTCATTAACTTATCTCTCACAGCTCTGCACCTTTTCCATTTATCAAACACATAAAACAAAAAAATTCCCTGTTTTACATTCCCACGGGTTAGAAAGTTCAAATCTTTTGAAAGCTGCAGTCAGAAAAGACAGAGATGAACTTACAGTTGGACGACTGATTCCAGTAGGTTTGTTTGATGGCCTCCTCGCTGACATCTGTCCAAAATATCAGGTTCTGATCGAACAGGAAGTCCACCGCAGTAGCATCTTCCAGATCACTAACAACAATGGCCGATTCCCCCCGCACACCGTCCGCATCAACCAGTCGGACATCTCGACGGTTGGCAAAGAGGAGGAGAGGAGAGCCTGGAAGAGGAAAAGATGATTGGCTGGCTGTTGGTTTCTGATTCTAGGCTGCAACTGGAGACTCGTTTGATGGAGTCGCTGCTCATCACGAGGCTAAGGTAACGTTGCATCAGTCAGACTGGTGGGAGGCACCTGCGGTCATTTTAAACATTCTAATGGCTGCAGACATCCAACCCAGTTTCCTGCCACACTGTCGATGTTACCTTTTGTATCTATGCTTCTTTTTCTATGTCTGCTTCAGTCTCCTTGAACCCCAGTCGGCCTCAGCAGATGGCCGCTCACACTGAGCCTGGTTCTGCTGGAGGTTTCTTCCTGTTCAAAGGGAGTTTTTCCTCTCCACTGTCGCTACAAGCATGCTTAGTGTGAGGGATTGCTGAAGAGTCAATGAGTCGATGCAATCAACTGGTTTTTCTTAGATAGAAAACTTTCAATCAATCTGACTGGATGATCTGGTGAACTGGAAAGGGCCTTGAGATGACATGATGTGAATTTGAGCTGAATAGAATGGATGTGATTATATTTAGCAAGGGACGACGCACAGCAGATGTGATTAAACAGCTTCTAACTCGTCTTTGAACTGCTGCACTGGTCTTATAAGGTAGGCTCCCTGATTCTTCCACATAATTCATAGCTCACCTTCTTCAGGGTGAGTGGAGATTTTTTTATTCTTTCATCCTCTAATGTGACGTCTAAAGGGATCCTAGGTGTTCTGGATGACATGCACAGCACTTTAATCTAGATCCTCCTTCTGTCCATAAAATTAAAGCCTCACTAGTTCCTGGTCTGAGAGGAGCTCAGAGGTGCAGTAAACAACGCTGAGGATATAAACTTTGACCTTCAGCCTAGAACCGCACCACAGTCAGAATCAGGGACAGCAAATGATTGTACGACAGTTGAAGATCATGTATATTGTTTAAATGATAACTACATGAAAATTAAGCTCATTATGTTAAGAGTACATAGGTTTAATATTTACATACTGGTTGAAAATAACTATGTGTTAATTTACAGTAAAGTTCACACAAAGTTAGATATTTAAGAAAAGTAATTTCATTGAGAAATTCAGGCTATTTATTCCAGACACGACTCCTGATCTGCATTATGATAAATAATTTATGACATTCCTTCCTGTTAAAAAGTACAGAACAATTTAGGGCTGAAACAATCAAATTAATCGATCATTGAAATAATTGTCAACTAATTTAGTAATCAATTAATTGTTAACTGGAGTATAGAGACTGTAAAATATGCCTTTAGCTGACAGAGCGACCAACTTAGAGCAGGAATTATACCAGAATTGTAAAAAAATATATCAAAATTTTGTATTAAAGTTAAAAAAAAACCTTTTTCACCTGTCAATCTGCTCAATCCAGAACTCCTCAAGTGGAAAAGGTTTAGTTTCACCTGGTGTGTTTTCATAAAAAATCTTATTCTTGTAACCTTTGGTTATCTGAATATTAATTGATTAACTGAAAAAAATAATCCACAGATTAAGCAATTTAAAAAATAATCATTTGCTGAAGCCCTAAAACAAATTAGGACAAAGATGTGCAAGAAGGAAGAGAAAGGCAAGAAATGGGCTGAGATCCAACAGGATTTTAAAAACGTCCTGCTGCTTTAATATTTGGTTTCAATTTAGTTTATTGTATAGTTTTATTAACTGATGGGTTCTCTGTGTCGGTGTTCTTCCTATATTTTGTTAACGTTCAGCATTTTAAAACTGTCTTCTTAATAAAATGTGCCGTACAAATAAACCTCATAAATAATAAATACAACACAAAAATTTAATTAAAAAAAGCGTCAAAATGTTACAAAAATTAAACAGGTCACCAGTTTCCCATAAAGCGGCCAGGTGAGGGTGACCCTAAAAGTAATCGACAGGAGCCAATCAGCACCAAGGACAGCCCCCGCCAATAAACCCCATAAAAGCTGTTTCTTTAGTTGTGTTGCATATTTATTATAACGTAGAACAGACATAATGTTCCAGGACAGTTTCTAAGCCAAGGGATAAAAATTTATGAACCAGAAACAATCTTAGCAACTTATAAACTATACTATTTGCTGTTTAAATCGCTGTCTTTACAACTATTACAAACACCTTTCTGTAAAGTGAAGCATTTTAAGCATTAAACTTGACCAAATGAAACCTGTAAAACATAACCTGGATGCACCTCAGTAAATAAGACTGAAACGTTGTTGAAAAGTTAATTTTATTTCCTATTCCACCAGCAGGCTTTAGGAAAAATAACTCCACATGCAGGCTAAACTACGCTGAGTAGAGAAGAAATCCTGCAGCCTCTAGACTGAAACAATCAGATACTGATTAACGGTAAATTTATTAAATCACTGCCAACGTATTACTTTTAGGTATAGATAACGATCCATTCATTATTCCTTGCTGACTGTACTTTTCCTTTAAAATCCTGTTAAACAGTTACTCCTCTATAATATAAAAATGATGAATTAAAATAATTTATCAATTTTTACACCAGGAAGGCCAAAAAGAGATTTCAAATTTTGCAGAGAAATCTGAAAAAGAGCAAGTATCAGAAGGTCAAAGCACTAAAAATAAGATGGGTTCAGAAAAACCAAGATAAGGGATTAGAAAAACCCAGATTAGAGATTAGAAAAAAACAGATTTGGGATCAGAAAAGCCCTAACCCGGGGTTTCTCTAAGAACAGTGCCAAGAAAGGCACTAAAATAACTTCAGTCCTTTATTTCATATAATTGCACGTTGTTCTGCAGTCAAGTTTAGTTTTAGGGGTTGATTGTTTCCAGAGGGATTAAACATGTTGGATTTATGGAGATGAAAACTGCAGAAAAAACCCTAAAATGCCTCAGTTTTAAAACTTTATCAAATAAGCAAGAATGAAACAACAAACATTGCAGCTGAAAGCATTGCTGATTATAATATCCTTTATCGGCGTTGCTGGAGAAGCAAGACATAAGAGTCGTTCCAAAACTTTCTCCAACTGAGAACAGGTAGAGTCAGAGGAGTCATTCAGTGGTTATCGGCACACAGATGGAGCAGGCCAATGGATCTGATCGTCTCCAGCTAACAGATTTACAACGTCTTTAAAAAACACCTCTGCTAGTCCTATACCAGCCAATGTCGATGCTAACACCTCTGCTAGTCCTATACCAGCCAATGTCGATGCTAACACCTCTGCTAGTCCCATACCAGCTAATGTCAATGCTAGCACCTCTGCTAGTCTGATACTTGCTAATGTCAATCCTAACACCTCTGCAAGTCCCATACCAGCTAATGTCGATGCTAACACCTGTGCTAGTCCCATACCAGCTAATGTCGATGCTAACACCTTTGCTAGTCCCATACCAGCTAATGTCAATGCTAGCACCTCTGCTAGTCTGATACTTGCTAATGTCAATCCTAACACCTCTGCAAGTCCCATACCAGCTAATGTCGATGCTAACACCTGTGCTAGTCCCATACCAGCTAATGTTGATGCTAACACCTTTGCTAGTCCCATACCAGCTAATGTCAATGCTAGCACCTCTGCTAGTCTGATACTTGCTAATGTCGATCCTAACACCTCTGCAAGTCCCATACCAGCTAATGTCGATGCTAACACCTCTGCTAGTCCCATACCAGCTAATGTCGATGCTAACACCTGTGCTAGTCCCATAACAGCTAATGTCGTTGCTAACACCTCTGCTAGTCCCATACAAGCTTATGTCAATACTAACAACTTTGCTAGTCCCATACCAGCTAATGTCTATGCTAACACCTCTGCTAGTCCCATACCAGCTAATGTCAATGCTACCAGCTAATGTCAATACTAACACCTGTGCTAGTCCCATACCAGCTAATGTCAATACTAACACCTGTGCTAGACCCATACCAGCTAATGTCGATACTAACACCTGTGCTAGTCCCATACCAGCTAATGTCGATACTAACACCTGTGCTAGTCCCATACCAGCTAATGTCAATACTAACACCTGTGCTAGTCGCATACCAGCTAATGTCGATACTAACACCTGTGCTAGTCCCATACCAGCTAATGTCGATGCTAACACCTCTGCTAGTCCCATACCAGCTAATGTCAATACTAACACCTCTGCTAGTCCCATACCAGCTAGTGTCAATGCTAACACCTCTGCTAGTCCAATACCAGCTAATGTCGATGCTAACAGCTCTGCTAGGCCCATACCAGCTAATGTTGATGCTAACACCTCTGCTAGTCCCATACCAGCTAATGTCGATGCTATCACCTCTGCTAGTCCCATACCAACTAATGTCGATGCTAACAGCTCTGCTAGTCCCATACCAGCTAATTTCGATGCTAACACCTCTGCTAGTCCCAAACCAGCTAATGTCGATACTAACACCTCTGCTAGTCCGATACTTGCTAATGTCGATGCTAACACCTCTGCTAGTCAGATATTTGCTAAGAAAGAAAAATAACCTTTTTTTCTTTCTTAGGGGGGGGGGGGTGGGGGGGGGGGGGAGAGAGACTCAGATTTCAGCTTTCCAAAACCTACAATGCAGCAATAGAGTAGATCCCTTCCTGCTATCATTTCAAACCTCATCGCCATGCATGTGGTCAAAACATCATTCCCGTAATCCAGGCCAACAACAACCCTAATGACTCCCCATTACTAAAGGGTGGACCTGTGTTTTTGGTTCAATTTCCATGTTTTCTAAGTCATTACAAGGCCTCTGTTGGTCCACTCTATAACACCTTGAACTCAACATTACTCCTGACATTTTGAATTTTGAAAGCTTCCTGGATGGGAAGAGAAACGTCTTAAACTTGGAAATAAAGTCCAGTGGATTGTTTTTTAACTTTTTTGGGAATGGCTCTGACCTGGATGAGTGAGAATATTCACTGCCTGTGAGTGACAATAAACCAACTCCTGAGCCAACATGCAATCAAAGCCTGAACTTTCTTCCTCAGGCGCACGGCAAACCTTTGGTCGTTTAGCGTATGTGAGGCTACAGCAGAGTGAGCGACAGTTAATGAAGATTTTCCATCTGAAAACCGCGGCTTGAGGCAAATCACTTCCTTCCTTTTTGAAAAGGAAGGAAGTGATTTGCCTCACGCCTTCCCATCTGGGATGAGGAAACGTGAGCATTTCTCAGATTTGTCAGAAATCAAAGCGGCTGCCCGAGCATTCTGCCGGCTCTCTCACCCAACATGTGAACATGCCTTTTACCAGCTGGGATTGTTTTCATTTTGCCTAGTAGGTTTTCCCCCTGGATCAGGTTATGTCTGCCTCATCCTTAGCTCCACCCATCCTCCGTTCCTCTTATCCTGTCCAGGATCTCAGTCCCTCCTCCACCCTCACTCTCTGTCTCTCTTTCTTCATCCATCTGGGTTTTATTCAGCGATGATCAAAGAGTTTTCAATCCAATAATTTCTAATGTCAGGCTAACACAGGTTTCCTTTGGGGGTGGATCACTTCTCTCTCACTCTTAGATTATAATGATAAAGCAAACGAGTCGAGCTCATAAATGAACAAAATGCCGCAGTGAAAGGAACTGGTCATGGTTGGCTGGGTTTAAACAAAGAGCTAAACTGAGAACAAACTGGAATGTATGTAACCAAAGTTTAATCTTTCTACATCACACGTGTCAAACTTGAGGCCCGTGGGCTGAATCCAGCCCACTACTGCGATTAATTCGGCCCTAAAGAGCCAAAAAAGGCTAATCACGTCCTAAAGTAGAGACATGATATTTTTGACCCCCAAAAGCTGCTAAAAAACTAACAGTAAAGGTATAAAATCATAGCAGTTTGTAAATTAAAAGATTAAATTAAGAGTCTGGTTTATAAAGCTACAACTACTTTTAAGGCTAGGCTTAAAACTTTCCTTTTTGATAAAGCTTATAGTTAGAGTGGCTCAGGTTATCCTGAGCTATCTCTATAGTTATGCTGCTATAGGCTTAGACTGCTGGAGGACATAGGGACCCCTTTTTCATCATTCTGCTTCATTCTATCTCTACCCTCCCACTCTGCGGAATCTGTTAGTTCAATCTCTAACGTTCTGCTCTCTCTGCTTTTTCTCATAGTAGCTTCATCTGGTCTGTTCCTGTTTGGCTGTGACTCCATCCTGGAGAGAAATATCAGCTGTGCTGCTGCCATCAACACCTTTGTTTCTAGATGTTGGAGCTTGGCCTGTTTTTCAGTGTGGTCCTGTTTCTCTGACTGTGACTAACTGGATGTGCTCTCTTCATCCTCTGACATGGGAGCTGGCTCGGACCTCGTCTGCCTGGCTGTGTGTTTCCTGGACGGGGCCGCCTGTGGAGCTGGTTGACAGTTGCCTTTTGTATCTATGCTTCTTTTTCTATGTCTGCTTCTGTCTCCTTGAACCCCAGTCGGCCTCAGCAGATGGCCGCTCACACTGATCCTGGTTCTGCTGGAGGTTTCTTCCTGTTCAAAGGGAGTTTTTCCTCTCCACTGTCGCTACAAGCATGCTTAGTGTGAGGGATTGCTGAAGAGTCAATGAGTCGATGCAATCAGCTGGTTTTCCTTAGATAGAAAACTTTGAATCAATCTGACTGGATGATCTGGTTGAACTGGAAAGTGACCTGAGATGACATGATGTGAATTGGAGCTATAGAAATAAACTGAATAGAATTGAATTGAATTGAACTGGTCCTATAGACGTGATGCTGAAGTAAGCTGACACAAACGACTCGGATGCCCCAGGTCTACATGGTTGGTCTTACCTAAATATCCTATTAAACAGATCTAATAGGATATTTTAAAACCAGGCTGATCGTCCGCACATATTAGGTTTCACTGAAATACATGAACAGGCTTTTTGTTTGATTTTGTTATTTACATGATAAACGGGGAGGCATCAAATATGTGGTGCAGCTGCTGCCATGCAGAAGCTGCACTGCTAAGTTAATCGCTGGAGGAAGGTTTGTTCCTTTTTCAGGAGAGCCCTGGCTAAAGAAGGGGCCCCTCTAAAAAAGGGCCCTTCACTGAGACAGAAACCGGCAACTTAGCACACAGTTTAACAGCTGGGGGATCGTTTCAGTGGGACTGTTTGCTTATTTATTCAGTGAGCAGCTGTCTGTCAACTCCGTAAACAGTTAGAATATAACAGTTACAAATATCTGAGCATCAGTTAATCATAAAAAAAATGTTTATGATCATAATTATTTGTTTAATATGTATAAAAGTCGGATAATTTCTAAGTTATGTTGATTTTTCATCTGCTCTTTAAGCACCACCAACATCTCAGCCTGATGGAAACAGATTTTTGGCTCATTTCCTATTTGAAGCCTTGCACTGTGTGTGAGAATAAAGTCCATTTCTCTACCTTCAAAAGCTGAGAGCAGAAAAAAACATCCATGCATCAATATCAGCTTCCTGTCTCAGTCTACAGCAGATAAATGTGGTTAAAATCATTTTTTTTAATTCACTGAAACAGCAGTGAGGGAGTCACACAGACAGACCCAGGACTCCTTTCAAACTTCTTGATTAATTCATCTGTTTCAGAATAAAAAAAATAACATTTATAATTGTATTTATCATATGTTTATTCGTATAACTATAACGATGAGACACCTAGATGAAGGTCATTTTGGGCTTTTTTTTTAAGTTTCTCTTTATCTTCTGTTCCCTCTCATTAAATCAACAGATATGAACAACAGGAGGTTTGAGATTCACAACCTCTGTGAAGATTAATGAGGAAAAAACGATTTAAAATCAAGTAAAAATAGAAAACAGAGCCTAGAACCTTTATCAGCTGATTATGGGACGTTTAAAGGCTGTGCATCCAGACAAACAGATTAGATAGATAGATAGATAGATAGATAGATAGATAGATAGATAGATAGATAGATAGATAGATAGATAGATAGATAGATAGATAGATAGATAGATAGATAGATCAGTGTAATACCTGAGTCATTAGAGTATCTGTGTATATCTAGTTTGTTTCTGCGGTTCTACAGTCTGAGAAGTTAAAAGTTAAAGTTGAGGTAGATGTGCTGAGGAACTGCCTGCTCTAGCTCTAGCAGATCTACTCTGAGTTCTTTTCATCTTTAAGGCAGAGAAGCAGTCTGACACCCGACACCGAGCAGCAATGGCTGGAAGCTGGGAGGCCCGAGAAAACAACCTTTAAACTTCAGGATCTCCACTCAGACCCACGGAGGCTCCCACGCAGGACCAGCAGGGAGGAACTCCAGCAGCCCAGCTGGGAGCTGCTCCCTTTGGACGCCGAACCTCCACTTTCCCCCCAGGTTCGGCGGAGGCTGAAGGCGGTGAGCGGGGAGCAGAGACCTCCTCCCAGGAGCTCAGATCAACAACAGAAAGGAGAAAGTTACTAACCATGAGCCGCCATCAGCAGGGAGGTCCAGAGGAGCAGACCTCCCATTTCCAGTCCGCTCCGCTCCTTCACAGCCATGGCTGCCGCTCCATTCCAAGATGGAAGAAAGTCCTGAAGTTAGAAACGGCTCCGCTTCTCCTCCCGGCTCACCAGCAGCTCTCATCCACATCTGTCCGCGCGCCGCGCCGCGGGGTCGCTCTGCACAATTTTTCCTCTGGAACCACGCGCGCGCGCTTCTTTATACTTTGGACTGTCGAGCTCGCGCACGGAGAACAAGGCAGGCCGCTGTGGGCTGACGTCCGATGACGTCACCGAGTCCGAGGCGGTAACAAGTTTTATGTCTGAGCGGGTATTATGGCCAGGATGGAGAGTTAAAAAAAAAAAAAGTTTTATTTTAAGGCAATTCTTCACTAAAATGAGGAGTTTATATCAAGCTATAGTTTGGCATCAGAAGCAAATATGAAGTTCTTTAGCATCACATTATTATCAGAAGCAGAACTTTGAAATGATTGTGAAAAATACTATAAACTGGAAGCTTTCTTCCTGAAACGGGTTTATGTTGGATGACTTTATTCTAGTCATTTTTAAATTTTATTCTCCTAATTTTGCGATTTTATTTTCATAATGTTCTAACTTTATTCTCGTATTAAAACATGTCTAGCCTGCTCCTAATAGTGTATTTATAACCACTAACTAACTAACTAACAACTAAAAACTAATCAAGTGGGAATGCTTATGCATTCCCACTTATTGTTTTTCTGTTTCTCTTTATTATTATCAAGTGGGAATGCTTATGCATTCAATTCAATTCAGTTTATTTATATAGCGCCAAATTCACAACACATGTCATCTCAAGGCACTTTACAGTTCAACCAGATCATACAGTCAAATTGATACAAAGTTTTCTATCTAAGGAAAACCAGTTGATTGCATTGACTCATTGACTCAAATACAATCCCCCACACTAAGCATGCTTGTAGCGACAGTGGAGAGGAAAAACTCCCTTTTAACAGGAAGAAACCTCCAGCAGAACCAGGCTCAGTGTGAGCGGCCATCTGCCGAGGCCGACTGGGGTTCAAGGAGACAGAAGCAGAGATACAAAAAGCAGCTGTAAAAGGCGGCCCCGTCCAGGAAACACACAGCCAGGCAGACGAGCTCCAAGGCAGCTCCCATGCCAGAGGACGAAGAGAGCACATCCACTCAGTCACGGTCAGAGAAACAGGACCACACTAGAAAACAGGCCGATCTCCAACATCTATAAACAAGGGTGTTGATAGAAGCAGCACAGCTGATGTTTCTTTCCAGGATGACGTCACAGCCAAACAGGAACAGACGAGGCAAAGCTACTCTGAGGAAAAGCAGAGAGAGCAGAAGGTTAGAGATTGAACTAACAGATTCTGCAGAATAGGAGAACAGAGAGAGAATGAAGCAGAATGATGAAATGGGGGTCCCTATGTCCTCCAAAAGTCTAAGCCTATAGCAGCATAACTATAGAGATAGCTCAGGATAACCTGAGCCACCCTAACTATAAGCTTTATCAAAAAGGAAAGTTTTAAGCCTAGCCTTAAAAGTAGACAGGGTGTCTGCCTCACGGACTAAAACTGGTAGTTGGTTCCACAGGAGAGGAGCCTGATAACTAAAAGATCTGCCTCCCATTCTACTTTTAGAAATTCTAGGAACCACTAGTAAACCTGCAGATTGAGAGCGAAGTGCTCTGTTAGGAACATAAGGAACAATCAGATCTCTGATATCAGATGGAGCTTGGCCATTTAAGGCTTTATATGTGAGAAGGAGGATTTTAAATTCTATTCTTGATTTAACAGGAAGCCAATGAAGAGAAGCCAGGATAGGCGAGATATGATCTCTCTTTTTAATTTTCATTAGAACTCTGGCTGCAGCATTTTGGATCAGCTGAAGGCTTTTAACTACAGTTTGTGGACTTCCTGATAGTAAAGAATTACAATAGTCCAGCCTTGAAGTAACAAATGCATGGACTAGTTTCTCAGCATCACCCCTGGACAGGATATTTCTAATTTTTGCAATGTTCCTCAGATGAAAGAAGGAAATTCTAGAAACCTCTTTGATATGGGACTTAAATGACAGGTCCTGATCAAAAATAACACCAAGATTTTTTACTTTATTATCTGAAATCAGTTTAATCCCATCCAAATGAAGTGACTGGCTAATCAGTTTCTTTTTCAGAGACTCTGGTCCAAAGACGATACCTTCTGTTTTGTCTGCATTCAGAAGCAGAAAGTTAAGAGTCATCCAAGTTTTTATGTCTTCAAGACATACCTGTAATCTATGTAATGGGTTAGCTTCATCTGGATTTATAGACAGATATAGCTGGGTATCATCAGCATAACAGTGGAAATTAATCCCATGCTGTCTAATAATTCTACCAATTGGGAGCATGTATAAAATAAAGAGAATTGGTCCTAGCACTGATCCCTGTGGTACTCCACAGGTAACCTTTGAGCGTGTTGAAGATCTATCATTAACATGAACAAACTGAATTCGATCAGATAGATAAGATTTAAACCAGTCTAGTGCTGTTTCTTTAATTCCAACAAAATATTCAAGTCTTTCTAAAAGAATATTATGGTCAACTGTATCAAATGCAGCACTAAGATCCAACAGGACAAGCACAGATACAAGTCCATTATCTGAGGCCATGAGAATATCATTAGTGACTTTCACCAGAGCTGTTTCAGTGCTATGATGAGCTCTAAAGCCAGACTGAAACTCTTCAAAAAGTTCATTATGGTGGAAGTGATCGCAAACTTGTTTGGCAACTACTTTCTCAAGAATTTTGGATAAGAAAGGAAGATTGGATATAGGTCTATAATTGACCAAGTCATCTGGGTCAAGAGACGGTTTCTTAAGCAGAGGTTTAATTACAGCAACCTTAAAAGCTTTAGGTACATATCCCTGCAACAGAGATAGATTAATCACATCTAAAATGGAGGAGGAGATCAAAGGGAATACCTCCTTAAATAACCTGGTTGGAACTGGATCTAACATACAAGTTGAAGGCTTAGATGAAGACAATAATTTTGCTAATTCAGAGAGTTCAACTGGATCAAAGCAGTCTAAACCCGGTTCAGATTCCATGACTACCTCAGGTACAATCGCGGATAGAGGAGTGCTTATGATCTTATTTTTAATAAGATCAATCTTATTTATAAAGAATCCCATAAAATTCCCACTTATTGTTTTTCTGTTTCTCTTTATTATTATCAAGTGGGAATGCTTAAGCATTCCCATATAAGTGGGAATGCTTAAGCATTCCCACTTATTGTTTTTCTGTTTTTCTTTATTATTATTATTGTGTGAATGCTGTAGGCATTCGCACTATTGAGATCCTGTTTCTCTTTATTCTTTATTTATTGTGTGAATGCTGTAGGCAAAACATACCCCAGAGCGAATTTCACAATAAAAGTCTCCCATTTACGCTCTAATACAGCATCTATTCACCCAATAACATGGAAAACCAGTGATTTCATATTTAGAAATGGATTCTATATCACTGCTGGGCATGACCCTTCCCTTGACACACATCCATGATAGACTTTTGAAATAAGACTAAAGGGACTCTACAAAATAAAAGCCTCTTCCTTACACACACTCATTCATTGTGCCGTATGGCTCGTAGCTATGACCCAAACTCAACCAATTTCTTCAAATTACACTACCAAGGCCTGTTGACCACACACCTCAGTGCATATTTCTTAATCAGGTTCTAAGATTTACACTGTAATAAAGCATCTGCTAACCTCGTAACATGCAGCCTAAGCCTGCCAACGGTGCTGTCATCAACACAGCGGCTCGTAACATGCAGGTTAGTTTTTTTGATAAATTCAGCTCCTTAAGTGGTATTAGCTCTCTTTCTATAAGCTTCTCTCTCTGTCCTTCCTCTGCTTCTAATGGTCAGTCTTGCATATAGGTTTGTAGATTTTCAATCCTCTAAGGATGACACTGTTTTCTTTATGCTGATCAACCGACACATTTTAAATAATTTTCCAATTGTTTTGCCAAGTCTTGACATTTCCACATATGATTTCAAAATTTTGATACTTATTCAATACCATCTTCCTCAACATTTTACTTCCCATCCTTAAGCTACTAATTTTTTCTTCAACCAGATAAGATTCAAGTTTTTCTTTGTAATTTCTTTTCTAATTCAGCTAATTTAATACTTTTCAGCCTATGTTGTGAACTTTGGCTTCATTCTGCTCTCTTTCTGGACAGGAATTAAGCTTTTCTGTTTGCTGCTAATTCATAACACGCCTGACATGTTTCTGGAAAGTAGGTGGCCCCCCTTCAAAATTTCTTTAGAACTTTTTCTAGAAACTTGGGAGACATTATATTAAGACCCTTCTAGTGCCCACATTCAAGACATTTTTTGATATCATGTATGGTTTGGCTGTGCAGCTTTTAAGATGAGTTTGTTTCTGCCATTTTACTGCCAAATGATTCTACCCTACAAAATCTTCAGATGATTCAATTGTTTTCTGCAGTTTGAAGTTTCTGATGACTTCCTATCACATTTTCATATGTTCTTCAGTTAATTTCAGCTTTTTTCATTCAGCAAAAGCATTCCCACTTTGCTGTTTCTGCGAAACAGCTTTTTCTAGTTATTATTATTATTATTCCGTACGTTTTTGGTCGTTAAACTACTTCAACAGTTTTCAGCCCACTTCAACAAATTTGGTATCAAAACGTTCAGCTTCTTCAGGAGAATGATGCTATATCTTTTGGTAAAGATATTTCTTGTAGTTTTCGCGATATTCAGCTTTTTCTGCGATTTTTGGCCCCATTGAAATGCATGTAGAATTCTCAGATTTCAGCAAAATTCAGCAAAAACTGCAGCATCTTTGACCTTTAACTACTTCAGCATACTTTGAGCTAGAAACACCATTCAACTTTTAAAATGTTTCTGTATCTTTCTGCTATTACTGTTTAACTCAACTTTTTGCTAACTTTCACAGTTTTGTTTCAGTGAAGCTTCAAACTTTAAAAGAAAATTTTAAGATTTTCAGATTTATAATGGAAGTCTATGGACGGAATTCTTCAACTGTCAGAGTGCGTGCTCTAGCTTTTGAGCTGTTCTGGTTTTTCCGAACAAATTCTTCTCACTCCCTCATTTTTCACTCAATTGAAATAAATTTTACAACAAAAGGTAGGGATTTTTGTCAGGATTCAGGAAATGTAAACCTCATTTGTGTGGCATTTACGGTTTTCCGACAGTTTGGCCCAGACCACGACGAAGT